AAAAAAAAAAAAAAAAAAAAAAAAATGAGGCTAAAGCGGGAAGATCACTGTGAGTTCAAAGCCAGCCTCAATTGCATACCAAGACCATGTTTCAAAACACACACACCCAAAACAAAAAGTAAGCAGGGCTAGCTGCAAAGTGTGTGACTGTAGGTTTCCCAATTCTGGTCTTTCCCGGCAGCCTCCCTTTTGGTGGTGTCCGGAGCAAAATAATAAAATAAAAGAATCCTCTAGCAGCCAAGTGTAGAAAATTAAAAAGGATTACTAATACAGAAAGGAAGGAAATGTTCTGATTTATTGCTCTGACCTCTCTTGTCATAAAATGGCACTAAAACAAAAACACCATTCTGTAGGATGAAGGGAGGTGAAACTTAGAATTGGCAGAGAAAACTGAAGGAAATTAAAGTGCTAGTGTGCTCTGAAAAGTAACTCTCCAAAGATGCCATTGGTCACCTTGATATTTCCAGACCTCTCCAATGGCTTCCAGACTTAAAGTGCTGTGTAGAAGCCTCTTCCAGCCCACGGTGCTGCTAACTTCCCCAGGATCTCTCAGCCTCTCACATCATCACTGTACCAGATGAGAGTACAGCGGAAAGCTCTGCTGACCAGCCCATGAGATGATGAATGAGGCAGAGCAGCATTCTGCTGGCCCTGCTGCATGGGCTGACTGAGCCTGTGCATGGTGCTGAATGCCAGAGGTGAGGCTCTTTGGGAACAGAGTGGGGCCAGGAAGGGCTATTCTTTCTCTCAATTATCTGAATGCACTCTCACATAAAGACCCTCTATAAAGACCCCACTGCTGTAACTCTGAATGTGGTCAACAGCCAAAGGCTCTTGAGGAAAGCCAACCATTTTCAGAAAGAACAATTAGGTTACATGTGGCAATGTAAAGCAGACTTACTTGATCTAACTCGCCCTTCTCTATCGCCAGCTCCTCCATCTCTGGCGTTGGCTCATCTTCCAGGAAGGGATTGGTAGATGGCGGAGGAGACTCCAGCTTTTTCTATTAAGAAAAAGAAATATCTTATGAGACTATTCAGTAGCCTTCATTCAGCTTCCCATTGAGCTTCTGTTTTTCCCAAGCCCCCTCAACAGCTGACTCATGAAATCTTATCTCATAAATAAGAGTACAAGCAATGCAGACCTTAGTCTCCCCTCCAGACCTTCACTTTGTTTTCCTATCTTCTGGAAACTTTATTATTCACCTCACTACAATTCTAACCTAGTGAAAATTCTTACCATCCTTCAGTCCTCAACCTACAAGTCCCATCTTCTGGGGAGTGTCCTCATCTGTTAAATTTGGGTTAGATGTCTCTGCCATCTCTTATCCCACACTGCACAGCCTCTATGCAACTAACTGCCCATTTATCTTCTCCTCACTAGATGCCACGATGGCAGGGATCATGTCTTATTCCCCATCCTATCTTTGGTGCCTGGCATGAATTCAAATGCTAGATGGGTTTGGATTCTACAACAAACTTTAAAGTTAATCTCATGTTCTAGATTACAGACAAAAATCACCTCCTAAATAAGTCATATTACAACAACCAAAACCAAAATCCCCATGAAAAAAACTATTACTTCCCAGCTCCCAGAAACAAACACTATTTCAAAATACATTATTTAGAGGGTCCATGAACTAGTGGGAAAGCTGTGGGCCAAGAGATGGATTTTCAGCTCCAACTTTGTTGCACTTGCCAAATCATCTAGTTTCTCTGAGCTACAGGAGTTTCATCTGCTGAATGTGGATATAGACACAGGACTGTTTATGGGATCAAATGTAATAAAGAGTGCGAAACCCAAGAAGAAGAGCATGATACATACAAGGGTCGTTGATGATGCTAATTCCAGTGTAACTACTGAATCCAGTCTTTGGTTTTTTTTTTTTACAATTTTGATCTAGACATACTGTTTATGCCCAAGAGGCTAGGAATTTTAGTAGAAAGGAAGCTAAATGACAAGCAGTGTAAAAGGGCTTCAGAATTGGTCGGTGTTGGGGATGAGATGATAGAGCAAGGGATGGCTCCTTTAGAAACAAGACGCTAAGTGGAGAGGGAGTTTCTAAATGTGCGTGTGTGCATACACCAGTAGGGCAAGCGGAACTAATCCCTAAGCCAAAAGGAACAGCAGATGGACTGCAGTGTGAATGACTTTGCCAAGTGCCAGGACATCATGTGAAGGTATTACAAATAAAAAACAAAAGCAAAACTTAAATAATAAAAACCGCATCAGGGTCTGGTTTGGGCTTTAATGTAATTCTTTATGTTTTTGTTTGTTTGAAGCAGGGTTTCACTATGTAGGCCAGGCTGGCCTAAAACTCAGTGTGATCCTCAGCCTCCCAAGTGCTGGGATTACAGGCATGTGTCACCATACCTGCCTGGGCTTTAAGATAATTCTGCTTACATGCATTTAAACCACTCAGCTCTTGTTCAAAAACACCTGCAAATGCTATTGTGTGAATAGACAAGTGCCAAAGCATATGAAGGAAATCTTGTGATGCTTGTAGTAGCTCCCAGTAATCTTTAGTAACATAATGGTTTTTGCAGTATTCTGGTGAGAAACAGTGTGGCTGGCCCAACAACAAAACAAGCACAACATAAAAGGAAGCACTGACCACAAAGAATGACATCTGAGGCAGTGAGCATGGGCTAATTGTCAGGGTTCTTTTCCTTCTTCTCCTACCTGTCTCTACACACAGACTGATGAGAATTACCGAGGGAGTCACAGGCACCTAGAAATTCCAGCCCATTCATATAGGGCATGCACATTACAAGTGTGGACCTTGTCAATACAAAAGAAGTGATTCATTCCTTCATTCACCCACTCAACAAACTAATGTTCTGCATATTTGGGAGAAAGTAATGAACAAGACAGATCCACTCTGCCCTCATGAAGGTGGCAGGCTCCTGGAGGAATTAAGCTTTAATCAAATGTGTGGTTAAGGTCTTGAAGGAAAAGCTGTTACAAGAGCATGTGGTAGAAGGTCAGAGAAAATGTCTTTAAACAAATTATTTTTCAGCCAGAACTGAGGGATGCCTCAGAGGTAAAGATGTGTGTGTGTGTGTGTGAAGGGGTGGGTGGTGTGGGACAGGGCAGAGTTTTCTAGGCACAGACAACAGTTTATGTTTGTCATTTGGGTATTAAGTATCTATCATCTACTCTATTTCAAGCATTTTTTTCCTTGCACAAGGGATGTAACACAAGTAAGGCAGACAAGAAAGGGAGGCAATGTGATGGAAATGTAATTTAGGAACTGTAGTGGGCTGGGGATGAGAGGAGGAAGGTGCTTCTTTACACAGAGTGATCAGAGAAGGGCTTTTTAATAGTGGAGCAGTGGTATAAATAAGAAGGAAATGATTGGACGAAATCTGGAGACAAATATTCTTAGCAAAGGGATCTGGAGTTGAAGGACAGGGGCCTGAAGGAAGACAGCGGGTAAGGGTCCAATCTCATAGTCTTTTGTGGGCCTCCAGTAAGATTTTCTCTTTATTGCAAGTAAACAGTCACTGCTGGTTTTAAATAGAGAAGTGATAGGATCTAATTCAAATTTTAGGGACAAGATCTTACTATGTTGCCCAGGCTGGCTTGAACTCCTGGATTCAAGCAATTCTTTTGTCTCAGCCTCCAGAGAAGCTGGGACTATGGGTGCACCCCTAATATGGGTTTTTGTTTTTGTTTTTTAGTACCAGGGATCAAACTTTGGACCTTGAGCTTGTGAGACAGGCGGAAGCATCACTGAGCTAAATCCCCAGCCCTAGTTTTAAAATATAATTCCTTGGTCCTAGGGAGAATGGACTCTTAAGAGAAGGAAGAAGTTCAATTTTTGAGCTTCTTGCAGTGTTCCAGTAAGAGCTGATGATGTAGAGATTTTAAAATGATGATGTAGAGATAAAATGATGATGTAGAGATTTTTTTTAAAAAGTGGTCAGATCAGGACATATTTAGGAGAGAAGCCAAGAAGACTTGATAAAGCAGAGATGAGGGAAAGGAAGAAAAGGGGTCAAAAGTCATTCATTTTGGCCTGAGCCACTTGCAGCTTATACTGCCATAAACTGACATGGGTACCCTTATGCAGTGATAAGGATACAGGCTCTGGATCTGCTAAACCTGGGTTCATATGCAACTCCACCACTTGGAAGTGCTGCTTTACTTCTCCAAGCCTCAGCTGTCTTATCTGCAACTTGGAAGGGTATTAACACTTGGCTCACAAAACTAACAGCAGGACAAATGAGATACATACATCAGACTTCCAGGAAGATGGCATAGTAGTGAGCAGCAGAGAAAGAGTCTCTGCAATTTGATGTCCTGACACTGGAGTATAGCAGCACTTAGGAGAAGGAGGAGGGAAGTGGGTCCCTGGGACCCAGGAAGGACGGGAGACAAGAACTAAAGACTACAAGAAAAGTGAAGAGAAAGACTTCAACAAAGAGGAGGGAGGTACCAAGCAGCGCTCTCTCCCAGAGCCTGGACTCTCCAAGAGGGAATAGCTGGCTGAACCTGTAGATGCATAGTGACTGCTGATGACCTCAGAGACCTCCACAGAGAAACTCACCAGTGGAACAGAGTAGTGGACAAACCAGGCTTCAGCGGCTGGTGAGTTATCCAGGTTCAGACCTCACCCAGACAGGATGATTGGCTGGTAGCTTGTTGGAGAGGAGCCAACTGAGATCGGAATTAGAACAGCTGTGGGCAGACTCCATCTAGTGGGTCCTGGTGCCTCAGTGTCAGGGAGCAGAGTTCAAGCCAGCAGGAGACATATCTGGTTATAGGCTCAAGGAATCCAGTTCCAGCCTCATAGCCAGAAACTGGCCTGAACTTCAGAGGAACCTAAGGGACAGGCTGGCTGGGATTATCCACTACCCCACCATGAAGTGGCAGCTAGCTTGCTGGGATTAATCAATTTGGCTCTGGACTCTATTTGCTCACATTGCCTAACAGTGACAGGAGAGACACATTTTGAATTGGACATTTTGGGGGGATTTTTAAATCATTTTTCTTTTTTTTTCCTCCTTTCTAGTTCTTGGTTTTTGTTTAGTTTTTTCTTGGTTGTTTGAACAGTTTCTAGTTTTTTGTTGTTGTTGTTCTGTTCTTGTTTTTATTTTTTCCTTTTCTCTCTCCTATCTTCTTTACCAGTTTCCTAAAGTTTGTCCTCCAGTCTTGCTTCTGACCTCTTCCTCTTCTTCTATTTCTAATTTTTACCCCTGAACCCCTTTTAAATCTCCCCTAAGGGTAAAAATGCCATATTAAGGGCTACAATCATTTTCTAGGTTGCATTTGATGCTGTTGGTATTGTTGATTATACTACTTTAGCCAAGGTGACATAATTGTGCTAATCAGTTTTTCCTCTTGATGTTCCAAGACTGAGACTGCCTAAGGGCCTTAAAAAAATAAAAACAAAACAAAACAAAAAAACAAACTATATGACAGTGCCAAGGAACTGGCAGCTGGACCAAGTAGGCAGAAATTTCTCATCCCCAATAAACTGAAGAGGTAGGATCCTGCAACAGACTCAAAACCCAAAGCTAGCTAGCAATTGGAAGACACTTCTGAGAAGTAGTCATTTCCTAAGGTTTCTGAACACTGGCATTAAAACTACTCACCATTTACAAGCATCAACCCAGGAATCAAACTTTTTAAAAAATAGAAAATGAGAAAACACTTAAATAAGATGCAACCCCTATAGACTTTCAGCTCACCAAAGGCAAACCCTGGGGACAATGAGGTTGAACAATCTGAAAGCCACCCACCTGGACTCTGAAGGGCAACAGCAGAAGTAACAAAGCAGATGAATGAGGCTCTAGGAAAAAAATCAAAGCAGAAATAATTTCCCAGATAACTCCAAAGATGGTGATGAGAATGAAAGATACAGATAAAAAAAATAGATGAGCTCAGAAACATGATGGAAACCATGAATGCCCAGCATAAGAAAAACATGGAATCCATGTGGGCCGGGGATTTAGCTCAGTGGTGCCACTGCCTGCCTCACAAGCACAAGGTCCTGAG